ATTGTTTTTCGGAGTCGAAAATAGCATTTATTCAAATATCAAAGCTCTTACATCTCCAAAACTATGTCTAAAAGAAAAGTTAACAGGTGTCCTTTTTGTTAAAAATGACCCAAAACACGCATAAAAACTTTGTCCGGAGCTGAAAATCATTTACTATTCTACTACACTATTGTAGAATTTCTTGAATAAGATCAAGCAAATAAACGAGAAATACGACTATTTTTCCGAGAGTATCTGAAAATACCTGAACTTAAGCTACTATAGGAACTACGCATAACAGCATTTGAACGTGGTGCCCCGGACATTGAGTAAGGTCACTTGTCACTATTTTTTGGAAAAAAATACTAGCTAATTGGTAATTTTTTCAAAGTTCTACCAGGTTGAAATATCAATATTTTATCACCAAAGATATTAGTCTGGGCGATTTTATTTCAATTAGCTCTAAGCAACCAATACGGATAGGTTAGGAGCCATATCTATATATTTACACCGTTTGTCGTTAAAATTATGTAATTTTGCACTAAAGGACATACTTTTGGGTAGATTTGCCTACCAATGCCTTTCAAAGTGTTAAACCTACATGGGCGTACATCGTCTCTGGAAAGGATATTCAAATAGTCACTCATACTGTACACACGGAAAGCAGGGCATAAATACTATCTGTGCTGCGACGTGAATCGCTCAGTAAACAGGTACAAATTAAAAAAGTCACTGAAACGAATGTGAATATTCACTAATTTTGGAAGGTGAAAAATATGTTATAAGTTGTCTTATCAAACAACAGTAAAGGCGGAATAGCCCTGATATTGGTAGTAGTAGAACACCTTGCCTCTACCTGTTTTTTTTTTCTAAATAGTTATAATCCGGGCAGGGTCGTGGCAAAAAGCAAACACCTATGAGAGCTTAATATTGAAATTACTGCAGTTATATCACTGTCACTATATTGTAGCGTGGAATTTCGCCGCCCAGGGCCGACTGAAAATTGAACACCCCGATATGTCACATATTGGTCTACAATATTAATAAAAGTCAAATAAAGGATATTTAAATTCGTCAATTAATCAAAAATGTACTTTCCGTGTTGTTTATTAGCAATATCTTTTATACCATCATAAATATCAATATGTAATTGGATAGCTTCAACGTGGACTTTATCGATGTGAGATAATTTTCTGTTAATATTAGTTTGAAGAAGCTTTCATTTTTCTGAAGTGTATATGAAACAATACAAAATCTCGGAAAATTATCCATCACACTTGCGCTTCAGTAAACATTGGTTCCATGTAAATATGAGGTGTCAACATGCCATTGTAAAAAGTATAGTAGAAAGTTTACCTCAATTAAAAAAATATCGGACGGAAATTTTGCAATTTGCTGAATATAAGCATGATGCCTTTATTGTAATATTGTAATTCAAAATTGGTTTTAAGTGCTAAGTTTGGTGAGTGTACAGATTATATCAAAGAGGTTTCAAGCCAAATATACTTTACTTACTAATTAAAAATAAACTCATATAAAATCATAAAAAATTCCGTTCTGTTTTTTGCCATTTCGACAGTTCTGCAAATTTAAAGTCTATTCCAGTAGGAAGATGATGGTCTCCAGAACGCAAATTCGTGGTATTGATTTTTTCCAAACGGGTAAGAATAATTTCGCACTTGCCACCACACCTTTTCCTATCCCACCCGATGCAATGGCCCCACCATGCTTTGCCACTGATGGAAGTAATCTAATTAATATGACAAAGATTCTTTGAGACGTGATGAGCTTCCGCAACTGATTCTCGTGGCGCTAAAATGTGGAAACCTGAAGTCACTAAAGACCTTTTTAAAGAACTTTTAGGCCCGGTTTTTCAATCGCCGCTTAACTTTTAAGTTAGGTAACTATGACTTGGAAGTTAACTATCAGTTGACGGTGGATTCGTTTTCCAAGTTCTGGGGTTCTGGGCAACGCTGCTTTTATGCCTGAATTATCGAGTTCTATACGTTTCATGATGTTCGGTATTTATGTCTCGTGTCATCCATGACAGCTTGTGTCATAGTCAAGTACATTAAGTTAGACATTGCGGTTTGACCTCAACTTTATTGTTATCCCATACATGGTCCCCTGGTTGAAATTAACTACCACTTTAGAAGAAACTTTTTGAAAAATGCTTTTTGAGAGTTAACTCCTGGTCAGCAGTCAAGCTGTAGTTAATTTTCGATTGTAAAACCGGGCCTTACATTCAAAATGAAAGTAGATTATACTCAAAGCTAAAGTTTTTGTTGGCTCTATAGGTATCCATCAAAAATTTTGGTTTGTCTCCAAATTCTTGCATTTTTCAGTGTTGTGCTAGGTATAACTTTTTGTTAACATAAGATTGTCATTAAGCAACAGAAAAAAAAACAAGAGGTGGAATGAAATGTTGCATGCCCTTTCGCAATACTGATGTCTATAATATATTAGCGCTTATAATTAAAAAAGATCTGCTTTTATTCAGCCTAATCTGCAATTTGCAATCCGCAAGAACTTTCGGTATTTGTGTCTTGTGTCATCCATGATAACTTACAGGTATGTCACTCTCAAGCATAATATGTTAGACATTGCGATTAGATCACAACTTCATAATTATCTCAAGCATGGTCCTCTGACATTGAAAAACGCTTTTTCATAGTTAACTTCTGGTTAGCAAGTTGCAGTTAACTTGGAATTGAAAAACCGAGCCTAGGACTGTATGGAAGCCACACTTTTATATGTCGAGCGAAATAGTGCAATAGATTCATCATATCAGCCTTTCCTGTCTAAAATAGGATACATACGGAATACCCACCAAAATTTCTCAGACTTTTCGTCATATACATTACTACATTCCGCACTAAAGTTCATGCTAAATGTACTTGACTCGATGTATCAGCATATTCACTAGTGTAGACAAGGCTTAATCCTGTCGTTGTGTAGTTGCCTTTGGGAGATTTTTCGCTGACGGTTGGTATCCTTTTGGGTCAGACTGACTTGCGGATGATGGTATCGCGTCGAACGGCCAACTCTATATCGGAAGGGTATTAATGGGACCAGTTTGGATTTTAGCGAAACTATCAGTGCCCGACATAAAGACCACACAACCGCTGCACGGGTCAATAAATCTGCCCAAAGCTTCCGTATATACACTTATGTAATTACGATAGTGAGATTTATATGCAATATATCAGCATGCTTTCAGGTATGCTTTGTGTACTGTTAGTAGTAAGATTTTTGAAAAGAAAAAAACCCTAATCAGTTTTTCGTTGATCTAAATTATATCTCACGTAACTACTAAGTTGAATCGTAAGTATCGTCCAACTCAACTGTTCCAAAGAAACTGTCTATCTAATAATACAAGCCTTGAAATTGTTTTGATCAGCATAACCGGGGAAAGCTTTAGCCATACCAAAGTAATAAATGAGTGGTCGTACCAGTAAGCCTTAGAGGACCACAAAACAAAATCCATAAGCGCGGTGCAGCATCATCTGGTTGGTTGTAGTTTCGTTCAACTATTGATATAGGAAGAGTCTAGATCATTGAGCGCACGTCGATATTTTTTGGTTTTGTTTTGGAGTGGCTTTGATGTCCGAATAATCAAACTGCCCAATTTGATCAAAAAATAATTTTCGTGTGTCATCTTACAGCTAATACTTATCGCTAGAGACAATAAATTGGTGTCCTTTAGCTAATCTTAACGCATAGCTCATACTATCATTAGGAGCCCGCGCACTTGCCCTGCTTTAGACTCAAAACATTACAAGTTCATACGGCTTGGTCCTATTCAATAGTCGGACGACAGTGTAGTTGTCAAGCAGCTGAAGAGCTTCTGCATTAGGATGTTGATGTAGTCTTTCTCCGTGCATGGCCGCTACTTTCTTGATCTATGTTTGTCGATAACCAGAGGAATATTCAAAACACGATGAACGTCCCCATTGCGAAGATACCAAGATAATAATGGCGATGTTTCTCGGAACTATAACTTCCGTTTCTCTGATGATGAGACACAAAAAAACTTCTCATTGGTCTTGACTAGATCTAAATTACAAACCATTTTATGTTTGTTTTATTTGTTTATGTATGTACATGTTGGAAATTGCTACGTTGTTAAATGAAATTTGAGGATGTGTTTCAATAGTTCATTTTATATTATGTCCTTCTAAAATAAGTACAAGGTGGCGCATCGAAAACGAAACAGACGCATCTACTAGCAGCTCAGTTTTTTTTTTGAAAAACGCTCAGACCCGTCGATTTTGTTTTCGAGGGGGACACAAGTATGGCAAAAAATCATGTTAACACGTGCAGCCCCCTGGGCGGGGGTGACACCAGCCCTAAAATCTTAAATGGAAAGGGGGGTCGAGTAATACCACATTTTAAAGCTCTTTCAATTCCCTTTATAATGATGTAAAATACATGAGCTCCAGTTCAGTAGTTTTGAAGATTTATTGATTTAAAGCTTAATAGGTACCACGGATTAGTTTGTACTACTTTTAGAAGAAATTTGCCTAAAAGAATTTACTTAATAAGTAAATGCTTTTCTTCACTACGCCCATGGTTTGTTTATAATTTTGTTGTTGAAAATAGCTATTGGAGCGTTTTTTGTGGCAAAAAATTATTTCTTGAAAAAAGATAAGGAAATATCTCATACTTATTTTAAATAGGAATTTATTACATAGTTTGCGATTGATTTGACCAAACTTTGTTGCTAAAATAATTTGTAACGCTTTATTACATAAATTAATCATGGTATATTCCACAGCAGAAAGAGTCGAAATTATCGAAATATTTTTCGGAAATAATCAGTGCGCTAATGGAACAGCAGAAATATTTAATGAGCGACATGAAAACAGTAACGTGAATCGAAAATATGTTCTAGAACTTGTAGCTAAATTTTGGGAAACTTGGTCAGTCGCCAATAAAAAACGCAACATTGAAAATCCCATAAGGAACGAAGCAATAGAAGTGGGGGTTTTAGGGCAAGTTTACGTAGATCCTACGTTAAGTACCCGCAAATTGGAGACTGTGTGTGGTGTTAGTCGACTTAATGAAGACGATTTTGATTTTGTGAAGGCACGAGTGAACGAATTATAAACGATGAACATTTTCTATTCAATACTTGCTTTTCTGACGAATGTTCCTTTTTCTTAAATGGCGTAGTAAATCGTCATAAATGCCGATATTGGTCCGATTCTAATCCCAGAATTTATCATGAAGTTCATATACAGCAGCCACAAAAATTAAATGTTTGGACTGGTATTTTTGGCGATCATTTAGTTGGTCCTTGTTTCTTACCTGGAAATTTGACCGGTGAAATGTATTTGGAATTACTGGAAGACGCCATAGATCCTGCATTAACAGCCATAATTGAAAATCAGAATGATCGGCGGTACATTGCGAATAGGTTGATGTTCCAACAGGATGTTGCCCCCGTGTTCGACAATATTTAAATCAGACGCTTCCAGATCGATGGATTGGTAGAAGAGATGCCACTGAATGGCCCCCAAGATCGCCAGATTTATCACCTTTGGATTTGTTTAAGTGGGGCCATTTAAAAAGCAAAATCTATGCTACTCAGCCAACATCCCAACATCATTAGAAGACCTGCGACAAATAATTGTGAATCAGTGCCTTCAAATTACTCCTCAAATATTGCAATATGTGCGGCAACGTTTTGAGAAAAATCTTTATTATTGCATGGAGAATCATGGTGGCCATTTTCAAGATCTACTTGCCTAACGGGTCAGTTCATTCTACATTTTTAAATTACTTTGCTGCCAAATGTATTGATCTCCACTAAATTCGATGTATTAGTTTTATTTAAGTTTTAGATCAATAAATCTTCAAAACTACTGAACTGAAGTACATTAATCTTATCATTATAAAGGGAATTGAAAGACCTCTAAAATAAGGTATCACTCGACCCCCCTTTCCATTTAAGATTTTGGGGGTGGTGTCACCCCCGCTTAGGGGGCTGCACGTGCTAACGTGATTTTTTGCCAAACTTGTCTCCCACTCGAAAACAAAATCGACGAGTCTGAGCGTTTTTCAAAAAAAAAACTGAGCTGCCAGTAAATGCGTCTGTTTCGTTTTGGATGCGCCACCCTGTATTTTACATTGTATATGTAAATTGATTGTTTTACTCTTTGAATTTTATATAGATAAGGGTCATTAGAAGAATAATTTTATGTACTAAATTTCTACAGCTTTTAGACAATGCACTAAATAAACATTTTATGTGGATGCACGAGATTGTAGAATTGGTGAATAGTTCTGTGTTGCTATTACATCTAAATACTCGTATACGCAGCACCCGCAAGCAACATCGAGTTATATCAACTACTCGTAGGTCCCAAATAACATATTTATACTTTAAAAGTTTATATGGCAATTCTGAAGTGCTTTGCTTCTGTTCGGACAGCGTCTTAGTAGTACTCCATTATGCCCGTTATCCCAATTAAAAACCCATATTCCGAGTTACGGCTGGAGAATTAGCATAAAAAGACGTTCGGCTGTAACTCATAACGACTGGAACAACACTTTATTCACAAACTAACATTTTAGCTGTTACAAATCCGGACAGGGGAATATACCTGTTGCATATTTTATGGGAGAACAGGGGCATGAGTTGGACGAGTGACTTTAGTTGTTTTAAGTGTAAAGGCTTCCATGCACTCACTATTTCAAAATGGAAAGCAGTTGTAACATATTGAGACATACGAGTATACGTCCACAAGACATGCAATGCAAACACACAAGGGTGTTCGTGATAATTGTTCTCACGACAAGAGACAACTTTTTGTGCAAGTGTACCTGCCCCCAAAACTTTTTGAAAGCCGGTGGTAGCAACATTTCTCAGGAAAGTCAAATTCTAAAAATCCTCAAATTGTACACAAACTCATGCAATTTTCAAATAATGAGCTGAAACCAGAATTCTGGAACCACCACCCCAATGCAAGAGTTATCTCTATAATATGATATTAAGGTAGCTAAGGAGACTTTTAGCATATGAAGTTATGAGAATTGTCATCTGAATGGAAGAAAATGGCTTGAAATCAGCCCCTGGGAAGACGGAAGTGATTATACCTTCTGCTAACTTCACCAGCTATTAAGGCTGAGAACGCCGAGATTCAAAGCTAAATTGCAATTGAGTACCTGGGTGTGTAGGTTGACAACATCTGAGAACGACAGAACATATGGGTCGCACCACTGATATCAAGGCCTAGAAGTAAGTAGTGTTGCGAATGGTCTGCGGTTACAGATCGGTGTCTTCCTGTTCACACTACTGCTGTTGACTGGTATCCTGCCACTTGATCTGCTGGTTGAGTAGAGATGCATTCTCTGAAAAAAGCTAGAAACGGAGGTGCTTTTTGTCAGATGGCAGGTAGATGCAACTGGCCATAGTACATGGACTAGAAGACTGATCCCTTATACGAGCCCCTTCCCACTTCAGTTGGCCCAACTATTGAAATCTTAGTTTTTTCTTATCAAACACTAATAATAAAAATGTAGCAGGGTGTTTTAGGTCTAAAATATTAACAATGAATATTTTGATAATATATAGTAGAAAACACCAACTTTATCACTCCCTAATCAAATTTGCAGCATAAAAATAACACATGTTGCAATTACAGCATATCAACCTATTTTCATGTCAATGCAAAATAAGTCTATAACGCATAGGTGGCTGTGAAAAATAAAAGCTATGACAATTGTTTTTATTAATTACAGCTGTCAGAATACGTTTAAAATAGTTTTGGGTAGTTAAAGTTTTCAAAATGGGTAGAGGAAAGGTTATTAGTGAGAAAATTCGGTTACTGATAATTAAATTTTTTAATTCTGGGAAATCAAACTCAGAAATTGCAACTTTGTTAGACTTATCGCGGTACAGTGTGAGAAATATTGTTAGAAGATATAACGTAACCGGTTCAGTTAATATTAAGCCACGATATGTGAAAAAAAGTAATATCACAAATGCCGACCGAAGAGCATTAAGAAGAATAATCGTGTAAAACAGGCGTGCCAATTATTTGCAATTAAGTGCTCTCTGGAGTGACGCTGTTGGAAGGAGAATTTCGAGGTCCACAACTCATAGAGAGGCCTACAAACTGGGATTTAGCACTTGCAAGGTAAGTTTTCTTATAAAAAAGTGAAGTAAAAACCCTAAAGTTGCACAACTTGTTTATAGGCTAAAGAAAAGCCACTATTAACTCCACTGCAAAAGAAAAATCGGCTTAGATGGGCTAAAGAACATAGACAATGGACACCTCAGCAATGGTGTGCAATACAATGGAGTCATGAGGCCCGATTCGAAGTTTGTGTTGGTGACAGTCGCAAAAAAATGAAGCATTCCATGTTGACTGTCTGAAGAGAAAAGTGAAATTTCCAGCATCCATTATGGTCTGGGGCAGTATGTCATCAAAAGGAGTAGGAAAACTTCATTTTATTGATGGAAATGTGTATACAAACAAATATGTGGCAATTTTAGAAGAATCGCTTTTACCAATGATGGAAGAATGTTTGACATCCGGCCAAGATTTTGTGTTTCAGCAAGATGGTGCAGCGTACCTTACCTCAAAAAACGCTATAAAATGGATGGAAGAAAATATTGTACCACTTTTGAAATGGGTTGCTAGCAGTCCAGTCACCTATTGAAACTTTGTGGCACGAGATGAAAAAGGTTCTACGACAACATCCTGCTCGTACAATCACCGAACTGAGACAAAAGCTTTAAGAAATATGGGATTGTTTTACACCAAATTTTTGCCAAAACTTGGCTAACACTATGCCCCAAAGAAATTCAGCCGGAATAAAAAATAAAGGTGATGTTACCCAATGGTAATCTTTCAATTGTTGCGTTGTGTTTATTTGTTCAGATGTTCTATTAGTTATAGGTCTAAGTGATTTCAAATATGTATTTTTTAGGACTAGAGTGTATCTAAAATGTTTTTGAGAAAATAAATTGTTTTAGAAATAAATAGTTTCGTCATGTTTAGTTTATAAAGGCATATTTTGGTACAAATCTTGAAGTGGGCCAACTGAAGTGGGAAGGGGCTCGTAGTATGGATTGGATATACAGGGGAACCATGCGGATAGATTATTATAAATACTGCACAGTTCCTCACAGGGCATGGGTGTTTTGACAACTATCTGAAGAGGGTAGGAAAGAGAGAGTACGCGAACAGTGCATATAGAAATGAAGAGAAGGATACTGTTTATCATCTATTTGAATGTAGTAGATGCATTTACTATCGGAGACAACTGAAACTGACACTCAGCGAAAAGCTCACTGCTGACCATTTTGCGAGAGATGTAAGCGAGGGTGAATGGGTTGAACAAGTTCGCAAGTACACAAGGCCGCGGCTCGCATTGTGGACAAAATTAGATCTCGAGCGACTTTCTTCACCAACCAATCTCTAAATTAATTTTAGGATCAATTCAAAATTCCTGAATAACAGTTTATATTGTCAAGGAACCCTTCAGATTGACGCTCTTTGCTCTCCCTCCTTCCTTCCCTTCTTTCTTCTTCACTACTTTCTCAGTGGCTTTGGTATCTGGACAACAAAACCTGACAGACCTACTGACTTCCAATACCTTAACCAAGGAAAGGTGCTACGAACTATGACGAATAGAAGACCTCACTCAAGATAAGTCTTAGAAATAACTGAAATATACCGTTTGAAATTCGGGATTTGCATCTACCATTGGTCATGCGTATATAGTCAGATTTCCGATAATGTGTATGGTTCATCTAAATCTGCATGAACCCGATCATGTAAGAAAGATGCGTCGAAAGCCACCCGCTGAGGCCTATCGTCACTCTCAGTTTGACTTATGTCCTTTGCTGCTCTTTTTAATAACCCAAGAGAAGCTGCGGAGGATATCTCGATGTAGCCATAAATGAGTTACGAGCATGCGGTGAGAGGTGAAGGACATTCAGCGACGTGTGTATTTTACGTTCACCTTCACCAAAGACCAAAGGTCCTGTTAGACAACCGCTTGTTGAGCATGATGAATACGTTACATCTACGCGATGGACTTGGTTTTCGAAAGGAAATCCTGCTATCTTCGAGTGAATGTGTATAGCGTTTCAAATTGGGTACAGGTGCTATATTAATGACCATTAGATATATGTAAAAAGTAAAAGGTACCTTTCAGAATACCGTTCCTAAGTAGTGGGCACATAAATGAATTATGTTATTCATACTAGAAAAAATCGGGAATTGATCACATCGCACAGTGGTCAAGCCAACACCAAAAGGCTGGCAAAAAAAAACAAAAAATAAATAAATATTTTATTGCCCAAAAGATCCAAGTTTGCCCAAGTTATATGCTCATAATAGATTATTTTAATAAAATCTAGATTTCTTATATTTAGTGGGTTCGACGTATATTTAGTTGCGAAACAAACAAATTTACAAGATACATTAAATTGACACAATTAACTTGGTTATCCTTCGTTCATATAAAGAGTACAAATAAAATCGATCCAGAAACATAGCATGATTGTAACCTGTATCGGAACAGTTCCCATCAGTTCTAAATATAATCTCTACGGCACTCATTCTTTGCTGTTCAATGGGGTCTTTCGAGTCGCTGATTACCTATAGGGCGTCGAAGATCATTTTAAAGTCACTGCAATGACAAATTCAAAGGAGTCCAAGCATTCGTGTCCAGACGCGTGTCATATAGGTTTTCGCGGTCGTTGCGTCCAATTCAGAAATCAGTTTGTCTATAGGTGAGGATTTAAAGAGAATTTCAAGGGTTCACAAAGGAAAAGTTGAATAATCGTTCCCGACCACCTGCCATTATATGACATTATTTAGGATTGTATTTCTCGATAGTTTGCAAAATTGGCTCCACATTTTATTTGGATGTACTTCAAGGTTCACAAACGTCACTTATTCCAACTGTGGCAATGAGCTGGACATCCGGATAATACTAAAGAAGAGAAGTTGAAAGTAGTAATCCATTCAATTCAGGGTGTAGATGAAAACAAAAATAATGAAAGATTTCTGACAAATCAAATGGAAGTTCGTACTCTCTTTATTATGATCCATATTCAGATGCTCAAATATTTTCAACGCACAACACAACAGATGATACAGAAGCTCAGTTGCCGTTAAAAGAAATGTCGAAAGGTACACTACAAACTTCAAGTTTAATAGTCTGCTATGGTAAAGGTAGTATAAGCAAAGTCTTTATTCCATGGTCAACATATTGTTTAATGTATTAACTTTGAATTGGTATTTTCAATTTTTATCCCATTTTCGATAGACCACTGTACATCGCTAAAAGCACTAGTCGTTAACTGGAGATCTTAGCAGTTTAGCCGGAATTGAGTAAACCCAGTAGCTGTTACTCAGGATCGGAAGAAAGATCAACAAACTCCAGAAGGTACCGGTAATTTAATGAAGCGCCAAAATGTACAATAGGTAGACAAGCACTAAGAAAACATATATTAGCGATTAGCAATAATAATAATAATAATAAATGGGCTTTATTTCGTACCTAAGTATAAGTACAAAAAAGGCGTTATTCAATTTAACCTTTTAAAGAACAAAAGATATATATATATATATAATAAAACATTCCATCAATAAAAATGTATCCATAATTCTCAATAATTACTAAATAATTAACAACACAAAAAAAAACAGAACAATTACAAGAATAGTCCATATTTCTAGCATTTTGTATTCATCATCAGACCTCTACTTGTAGTTTTAGTTTAAACCTCCTTTTAAAATTAAATAATGTATAGATTTTGAATGTAACACGCAGATCATTATATAATTTAATAGCGTTGTAGCTGAATGATTTTTGGTAGACAGCCTTAGAATGTAAGGGTATCACTAACATATTTCTATTCCTTGTATTCAATTGATTTGTCACTACATCGTGTATTGTAATTTGTTTTGTTCACTATATGATAGAGCGGAGCCATATATACTGTCACAATAACTGATATTTACTATAATTAATATTTCACACAGCTTCAGCTTTACTGAAGTAGATATTATTTGCCTATGTGGATAAAACTACTTCAAAATGCAAAATGATGCTACATAACGAATTTACGTGTTTTTTGTATTTTAGTTCTGTGTCAATCCAGAGACCCAGGTTTTTACACTCATTCATTATAGGAAGCCGGCAATCATAAATTTTAAAGTTAATTTCCGTTTCGATCAATGTTCTTTTGTTTTTTGAGCCGAAAACCATAACTGAAGATTTATATGGATTAATTTTTATGTTATGCGAGCAAGAGACGTCTACTAGCCTTGTTAAGTCTTCGTTGAGCAATGCTTCTGCGATTTTAAAATCTTTGTGTTGAAAACTAAAATAAATTTTAGTATCATCCGCATAGTGATGGATTGTGCAATTATGGACATATTGATGAAAATCCGATATATATAGAGAGAAAAGTAAAGGTACCAATATGGAACCTTGAGGAACACCAAACTTTATAGCAGTTGACTGTGACATTTTCGAAGCTGTTAGGACCTTTTAATTCTATTTGACAAATAGCAGCTTATCAAATTGACTGCAGCGTCAGTAAAACCATAGCAAGACAGCTTAAGTAGCAGAATTTCAAGGTCTATCATATCGAAAGCTTTTGTGTAATCCAGCAGAACTAAACAAGTGATATTTCCTTGATCAATGCCTCTTCTAACATCATCGCCTATTGCTGTGGGAATTACAACAAGGATAAACCTTTAATATAATTTTGCGTTTAGACCTCCATAGCTTCAGAAAACGCGGAGACTATCTATACGTATATACCAATGATAGTGCATAGTCGACCCAGCCGTGGTCTGGTGATCTAGGTATACTAAGCTCCAAGATGCGATGAGAGTCAGATGACAGATTGATATTAACTATACGAAAACGCAGATTTTCAGAAATTGTTCTGGTATCATTCTTAGCACAAGCATGATTGACATCGAAACACTGTAAACTTTGTATGCTTTGGCAACTTTTCTAATTTCTATGAAGGCAGCATTTTAATAATGCCTAATTGCTTTCTGTTAAAAAAAAATAAAAAATCAACTTATTTCTTTTCTTTCATTTGTTACACAATACATTTTCTAGGTTGTCAGACATTTGAAATATACTGTGTAAGAGTTATTTTGACAATGAATATGAATTGTAGAATGAGAACAAACGGGAAAATCGTGAGCATGCCCTGACTGAAGGAGTAATGGGTGTGAGAAAAACGCAGGATAGTTGAAAAAATTAATATCAATTTGTAAATGTACAGATACTACCTCACTACGTTTTTCCATTTTGTCAGCTGTCCAAATAGCACCCGAGTGAACCAGTTCCTGGACCAATAAGCTACTGTTCCAGCAACAATCAAAACCTGAGTGAGGAAAGAGTCCCTACTCGGCTCCGGTTGTCTTCTCCTTCTTTCTCTCTACCTCCATCTCTTTCTTTAACCACCGGTTTTAGTTCGTCCGGCTCTTCTTGACAGCTAAGGTCATTGCTGCCTGCCTTCTCATTAAAAGCCACCGTATATATACAGTTGCTGTCTCCTTCTGCCTACGCCAGTGCCGTCCACTTAGAAGAGGGGAAGCACCTTTTTGCAAGCAAGCCTCAGAGGCAGAACATAAATACACGAGTAGAGCTACTGCTATGAATCAACTAAAAATGTTTGTTAATAGAAGTTTCTAACCGATTAGGTTAGTGAGCAATTCCATGCGTGGCGCACTGACAATAACACGACATTTTCTG